AAACAGGGAAACAAACTAAGAAAGAAAGAAAGAAAGAAAGAATAACACAACTGCGTGTAAAGCTGTGTGACTGGATGTAGAAACCACCCATATGTAGTATTTCATGTTACTTACTCAGATACTGGAAGAAATGAATACGTCAGTGATAGTTTGTTTTATTATCATGATACATGTATTACCAAAGCCCTATAGGAGCAGAACATTGAACAATTATTTCGTAAATACTGAAAACTTACTTAACCATAATATCAAAGTCTTGTTTATATTAATTATTTGTTTTCGAACACTTTTGGTAATTTTAAAAAAAAAAAATTTTTTTTTGGGGGGGGCAACTTTGCAACATTACCAACAGGATAAAGATAAATGCAAGGCCATTGGTCAATACTTAAACATGAAAAAAGTCGTGGGGTTTTGTTTTTTTGTGTGTTTTTTTTTTCAATGTAAATTGCTGCTTTCATTCAATTGAATTTATGCTTCACTCATTTTTAGACACTGCAACTGTTCTGACTTGCAAAGTAAAAGCAAGACGTGCTATGAACTAACTTGAATGCGACCAACTTATCTTTGTGACCCGCGCGCTCATCTTCATGACCTTATAATATATTATTGCTTATCATGCAGTTTTGCAAGCGCCGTAAAACCTTTACCAGACATTACCAAACAAAGATATACACAGATGATCTGAGGTGTTGAAATGTTCTCTTCTATTGTTCCTTCTGTAAGAAATCTGAATACGTTTCGCAATCCTGTTCTTATCCGTTCCATCTAAAACAAATGGAGGGAGGTATGGGAAATCTTTTTTGCCGTCAGCAATACGAGCTTTGTCATTTTATCCCCCAAGGAATCGGTTCCCTCTCATATTTCTATACATACCGTCTGTATGTCGTGCGATTGTCCATAGAGATATTGTGTTGTCTTTGTTGTGAGTCAGTGTGGGGGTGTATGAGTGGGGGAATGGGTGAGTGTATGAGTGAGTGGATGGGTGTATGAGTGGGGGAGTGGGGGAGTGTATGAGGGAGGGAGGGAGTGTATGAGAGGGGGAGTGTAAGAGGGAGGGAGTGTATGAGTGAGTGGGTGAGTGATGTAGTGGGTGTATGAGTGGGGGAGTGGTTGGGTGTATGAGGGAGGGAGGGAGTGTATGAGTGAGTGGGTGAAAGTATAAATGATGTACTGGGTGTGTGAGTGGGGGAGAGGGTAAGTGTATGAGTGAGTTAGTGGGTGTATGAGAGGGGGAGTGGATGGGTGTATGAGTGAGGGATGGGGTAAATGAGTGGATGAGTGGGTGGGTGTATGAGTAAGGTACATGTAATAGGTGTATGAGTGGATTTGTGAGTGGGGGAAATGGGTAAGTGTATGAGTGAGTTAGTGGGTGTATGAGTGGGGAAGTATATGGGTGTATGAGTGAGGGATGGGGTAAATGAGTGGATGGGTGTATGAGTAAGGTACATGTAATAGGTGTATGAGTGGATACGAAGGTTAAATCAGACTTTGAGCTCTTGATTTATAAATTGTGAGGTAGCGTGGTGGAATCAGGCTCTCGTCAATTTTTGGGCATGTAGAGTTATTGGTATCATCTTAAAGCTTGTTCACCTGTCTTTTTTTGGATGAAAAAAGTATCCATTTAACTTGAATACAAGTCGAGATATTTACGCAAGAAGGAGGTGGGTGTCACTTGTTTTTAGAGGTAAAATTTGTGAGAAAATGGCTGCCAAAGGTTAGTTAT